CTTGCTCTGCTTGGGCCGTTGCCGTGGGCTTGGATGTTTTTCAACCTTGTCTCTGGCAAAAGTTTTTTCCGAGCAAACTAATGTGGAGCTATTTTTACTTTGATGTTTTTGTCACATGCAAGAAAGCAAACGTAACGCGCGGTAAAACAGTCTGAAACGTGACACCCTGCAGCGCAGTTGGGTGACGCTGGCTGTCACCTGCCCCGGGAGCCTTGGCAGGCGCTGCGCAGGCAGGGTTCGAGCGGGGCCGAAATCGGGTACGCTGCCGCGGGCGCCAGGGCAGGAGTGGCACGGCGTCCCCTGGGTTTCTCGGGGCGTGCTCCAGCGTTGTCCTTGCGCTGGGGTGCCTGGCACGGTGCTGGGTTTCAGGCCAGCGCAGGCAGGTTGTGACTCCCAGAGATAAGCACATCCGAGGAACTGTACCGAGTGCCCTCCTGCACTGAGCACGGCCGTGTCCGTCTTGTTCTTCCCAAGGGTTGCTCGTTCCCTTTGGTCGTGCAATAGTTAAGCTTGAATACAATATTTTCCTGCAGCAGAGAGGGGTTAATCTGAAGTTTGTTTGTCCCAGGAACTCCTGCCAAATCCTGCCTCTAGCACGGCCACTTCTCCCGTCTGACAGTGCAGAAGTAACGCAGTCGCTGGGAGCTTGGTGATGCAGCGCTGCTCCTCGGGGCATGGGACGTGCGGCAGGCGCGGAGCTCGAGCGGGATGGTAAGTGGCCTGCGTGCACTGGATGCGACTTTGCTGTGTACAGGAGGAAAGCTGTTGGTCAGGAGCTTGTGTCTCGCTGCGGGATGCTGTGGGACTCGCGAAGAAATAGCAGTAAGCGAGGATTTCTGCAGGGACTGTGACTGAGAAGGGCTTGTGTGCCCTGTGCAGTTCAGAGAACCTTAAAGACCAAGTGAATGGGGCAGAGGATGCCTCCCCTGAGGTGGGTCGTTATTGTTAATAGCCATGCAAATGCTGTTTATAGAGCCAGTTCTGAGTGATTTCAGCGCCATTCAGGCTTTTTTAAAGCCCAGTTCTGAATATAGAGGCTGTACTTAAAAATTAGTGTGCTTAGGTTTTAAATTCGCGCTTCATATGTTGTATTATTTTAGCGCTTTTTGCCTGTTGTATTTAATGCTTCTTTGGCTTCACAGTGGGATCTCATTTTCTACCTCTTAATGTTCAGAGCCTGTAAATGCCTGTATATGTGCTTGGCTGTAAAATGGGAGGATTCCCATTAATTTCGTGCTTAGGTGACACACTGCACTTATATTAAGAAGCCAGGCTGTGCAGGGCTCTGCTAGGGCTGCAACATCCAAAGCAGGCTCTTTCTTGAGTGTTTGTTCACAGACAAGGCGAGTAAGCCAACAAAACGAGCATTTTTTTTTCTGGAAACGTTTATTCAGCCAGAGAGGTTTTGCCCTGGCTCAGAGGGCTCTGTATCGCTACCACGGTTGCTCAAATATTAGCTTATGAGCTGCTGGGATGGGGACAGGTCACCAGGTTTCCTGGTCTCTTGGTCCTGCCCTGCCCTCCTCCTGCTGCATCATTACTTTGCCGTTTCTGGAGGCAAGATCCACGTCCAGCATGTGCAAACGGCCGCCACGCAGTGGTTCCCAATACCACTGGCTGTAGCGTCCAGAGCAGTAACCGTACTGAGTACCTCGGTGCGAGGCTGTCCATGCACCCCCGCGCGCGCGGGGCTCTGCCCCCAGCCCTTTCTACCCCCACAGGACCCTGTTTTCCAAGCGCGCTGCCTGCTGCAGCAGGTCACGCAGCTGTTGGCCGCGTCGTGGGATGTTTGTAGGATCAGTGTGTCCTGCTTAAAAATGAACGTGCTGGTTTGCCTCGGCTGTCCCAGTGAAGTGCCTGGCAGGATGGAGGGCCCCGGCACTGTCCCCGGCCGCTCGGGCTGGCTTGGCCCAGAGCCTCGCCTCGTCCCTGCTCGCGGATCTGGTGCACGAGGGAGGCAAAGGCCGAGTTCCTTCTCTCTGGCAACAGGACCCCAGAGGATGGAAAGTTGATTCGTTTGCACAAAACAGCATTATTTTCCACCCTCCGCGTCCCTGTGACGGGTGGTGTCTTGTGGAAGTGGAAGGCTGTGGCTCCGGGGTGGCACAGGACGAAAAGGGTCATGGGTGAGGGGATGGCCCTGTTGCGGGTGCCTCGGCCGGGGACTCGCTGCCTTTGTGGTCGGACACGCTGGGACTGCAGAGATGCTGCTGAGATGGCCAAACCGGCTGGAAAAGGCTTTCTGTAGCCCCAAAACACAGGGTAAAAACGCACCTTTCAAAAAAACAAAAGGGGCAGGGGAGGGGGTGAAAAGGGACAGGGGAGAAGAGTGTGGCAGGGATGGTGGCGGTTTCCTTCCCCTTCTGGCAGTCACTTGAATTCTCTATTTGTAGAGTCAGATGCTCAGTTTTAACGCTTCTTCCCTATTTGCATGGGATGTTTCCGGCTGTGGATCTGGCCTCAGAAATGCTGCTGGTGTGGGACTGGTCTACCTGAGCATCCTCTGCCCTTCCTCGCCGCGTTGGGGGGAGCTGCCCCAGGTCAGAAACGAAACACCAGCTTCTTGCTAGCGCTTTCCCGCTGCGTGCTTTGGGTAACCGTGAGAGGTGGTGCGCAGGGAGCAACTCGGACAGGCTGCTAGCTCCCACAGAAAACGTGACTAGTACGCTGATTTTAGTCCTTTTAAAGGCAGTGATGGTCCTTGCAGGTGGCCTTTCCCATTGCCTGGGATGTGACATAAGAGCATAACCATAATTTACCTGCAGAGCAGGAATTACCTGTAACAGCAGTGTGGACACGTGCCTGCTGCACTGCCGGAGACACGTGGCTCCGGGGGACAGGGCTGCAGCCGTCTCGGGAGAAAAAGCTGCTGCTCTCCTGCACTAGCACCGAGAGGGGTGCTCGGGGCATATCTCTGCTCGGCTCCTGCCAAGCTTCTGGTTTTGGAAGTAAAAATAGCTCTGGCTGAGCGTGTTTTCAGTTTAGCTGTAACGCACCGTGGTGCCGAGTGACGGACTGAGCAGAGAGGATTTTCACTGGATTTTTATGGGGCAAAGCAGCGATGTAGATCACAGTTCTCCCCGCGGGTGTCCACGAACGTGAGTGGGGAGCCCTGCTATCGCCCTGCCCTTCCTCCAGGCCTCCCAGAGCAGGGCAGGAGGCCTGCTGGCAGCTGGCCACATCTGCTGACTCTCCGTGTCCCCCCTTTGCTGCCCTCGTCCCCCGAGCTGCTGGCCGTGGCGGGGGCTCTGCGCTTTGGGGAGCGAGGATGCAGGCTTTTCCCAGCCTCTGGCTGTAGCGCTCCCCAAGCTTGGCAGGCAAAGCCCCACGACTTGCGCGGTCACGGGAGCTCGAGTACCTCCTGGCAGGCAGGGAGGGATTTACTGTGTCCCCAGCCCTTCCCCTGCCCATCTGTGACCTTCTCTCTTTGCTACACAAAGATGAGCAAAAATGAGCCACTAATAATGAGCAAAGCAAAAACCCTTTACTAATAAAGGATCTCTCTGTTCCAGGCTGTCTAAATGGTGCTGGTGACCTTATACTTTCTGAAACTGATACTGTTCATTTGGACCAAAATGGCCAACTCTCGGCCTGCGAACAAGGAGAAGTCTGAGCCCGATCTGCAGAGCCCGGCATCACCGCTGACCACTGAGAGCCAGGAGAAGCCTGTGGGCCAGCGGCAGGTTGGCCTGGAGACACCGACCCCGTTGGCTGAGCCTTCCCTGGCCGCCTCACGCGCCGAAGGTACCTCCGTAGTGGGCTCAGAGCAGCCAGGAGCCAAATGCAGCCAGCAAATGCCTCCGGCCGCCGCCTCGGCCTGCAGCAAGGCACTGCCAGCACCGGGCGCTCCATCAGATGGGTCAGGCAAGCCTCAGGCGCGGGCTCCCCTCCCTCCCCCAAATCTGCCCCTGCAACTGAGCAAGCCCACCAAGGAGGAGCCGGAGCAGATCGTGGTGTATAATCCAGCAACGCTCAGAAGACCAGCGTTGACCAAATTTGTTCTGGGCTCCTTTGAGGACAACTCCTCCGACGATGAGGTTGTGGCCGGAGCCTTTAAAGTCACCAGCCGGCGGAGCAGCCTGGCGGTCGCGGGCAACGCCACGGGCGCTGAGGCTATGTTGCTGGCCTCCTCGATGGAGGCAGCCACCAGCATGAGGTAACGTAAGGTGCTGGGGCCAAGCAACTGCGGGAGGCT